CATATATATATATATATATATATAATATTTTTTGTTAACAATTTTAAAAACGTTTATTTTAAAATAAGTTTTTATTTTATTTATATTTTTTAAAAATAAGTTATTTTATTTTATTTTTTGAGGAATTAATTTTTTAAAAATAAGTTTTTATTTTAATTTTTTTATATATTTAATGCAAAATTACTGTTTTGTCCCTTTTAAAATTAATGAAAATTGTGAAAAAAAGTTAGATAGTCATGGTGAAATGTTATATGAAATTGGGTGACCTCGGTGAAAAGTTATATCAAATTGGATGGCCATAGTGAAATAAAATCAAATTGAATGGTCATGGTGATACCAAATATAAAGTTGGGTGGTCATTTGTGGATTTAACCCGATAGAAAAACATGCCAGGAGCCAGCGACCATGCATCGTTGAAAAGTAACAATAACCTCCCCCGGTTAGCAAAAATTTTCTTTGGTTAAATTCCAATCTGAACAAAATTGTGTAATTCTTCTTTGGTTATGTTTCAACCTACACAAAATGTGTTACAATCCGGACGCTCTTGCCATGTAGCTATAAAGGGCTAAGATTCTACTACTAAAATTTTTGTTTTCAAAAATGAACTCAACAATAAGGATAAGCTTCATCCTGGGTAAGGAAACAGCTCAAATCAATACCTAGAGAGATGCTGAGATAACCAAAAGGTTTTCGTAGAAGAGGTCAGCCTTGAAAATGTGCCTAATAGCTCACTTATTGAAATTTATATAGTTTAGGCAAAGAATTCATTGATCCATCCACAGAAGAGAAAAATAAAATGACACTTCAGATTGTGTGTTCAAATTTCAGAAGGTTAATTCAGCATTTGAATCATTTATAGGGTTAATAATTTGTGGGATTGACTGTGGAAGTTCATAAGAGTACTCACAAGATAGTAGAATTGAAAGCGCATCTTAATTCATATTAATAAGCATGAAGTACAGTAATAGACACTAGTTACATTCAGTTACAAGTTCAAGAAAAACAGAGAAATCTCCATTGGTTTAGCATGGAAAAAAACACCAGCTGACCAAAATGAAGAGACTTGTGTACTACACATATAAACATAAACTCCAGGGCTTCTGCATATGTCAAAAAAACCATTGCAGAGGCCACAACTGGTTCCAAACTAAACCTGGATTACAACATAAAGATCCTAGAAATAAACCAAACAACTTAGAAAGCATATGGTATATTATTATAAAGCTGCCCAATCTATCTCCACAGAAGGATATTTCTGCAACATGAAATCGGATTCTTCGAAAGAAGGCTCTGAGAAATCCAGAAAGGTAATATCAGATTCTGGTGAAGCCGACACCTCATCAGATGGGGAAGGTGATGATGAAGCCTCCACCTTGATGTTATCGTCTAGTGCCTGGTTACTAAATCCTCTATTCAGTGACTCTTCCATATTCGGAACACTCGTTTGTGTTGAAACTTCAGCCTTTGCATCAGATTTAAAACAGGGCCTTTCAGAATTCGCCTGTTTCTCCGAATTAGCCAAGCTTTGACATATTGCTTGAAGCTTGGCGTCAACAGAGGAATGCAGGGGCTTGAAATTACTGAATTCCTGGCACAACTGATGCCGAAGGTTGGGGAAATTGAGCCTTGCAAACTCTCCTCTTAGTTTATATGCAGCCTTATCATACGCTAAAGCCGCTTCCTCAGCTGTGTCAAAAGTCCCAAGCCAAAGCCTAGTTCTGTTCTTTGGAAGTCTAATCTCCGCAACCCATTTTCCCCAATGCCGCTGCCTCACTCCCCGATAAAGCTTCGTGGGCTTGGAGGAAGTTCCAGCATGTTTCATTGGGACTGGTTTCGGACCAAGAAAGCTTGAGAATTGGTTCTGCTTATGCAGCATATGGCTAAGAGTGTAATTCATTTGCTGATTTTGCAATTGCTGCTGCTGGAATTGGAATTGAGCCTGGATTTGAAGGATCTGAGATGGGGTAAGGAGATTTAGCCCAATAGTACTATCAGTTTGCTCATATCCAAAATTTGAAAACCCGGGATAAAATTCTTGGGTTTTTGAAGGGATTGAGCAAAAACCTGGGTACATATTGGATTCAGCAGAAAGAGAAGAAAAGGAAGAGTCAAAAGGGTAGTCAGTAGAAGGAGGAGAAGCAGAAGTTGAAGGAGAAGGAGAAGAAAGAGGAGGAGGAGGAGGAGGTGAAGAAGAAGAAGAAGAAGAAGAGGAGGAGGAGGAGGTATTTGAAGCACTTTTCATAAATGGTAAAAGTGCTTGCATAAGCTCTTCCCTGAGAGGATCTGTAGAAAAAACTTGACTGCTGCTAGCACTGTATATATCTATAGCTGCTGCCATGATTTCTTATCAAGAAAATACAGAATTCAAATAAAGCAAAATTAACAAAATACAAAACTTTCCACACAAAGGAGCAAAGAGGTCTCAAATAAACAACCCTTTGTTACCCTTAAAACTATATACTGAAATCAAGAGAAAAGAAAAAGTAACCTGAGGGATTAAAAAACAGGCCCTCTTAGTTGATCTGAGTAACAAAAAGAAGGAAATTTACAATAAAAAGTGATCTCTATTCTGAATCACCTGGCTTTCAAAAAAATGCCTTCAGGGGTTTGCTAAAAATTTCCTTCCAGTTCAAGTTCAAGTTCAAAATCAAGAAAACCAAAACCCCGAATTTTTTTATCAAATTTTGAAAGACAGACGATGACAGAAAGGGGATCCAAGAAGCGGGGATTAACATAGGGGGGAAATAAGGAAAATTGAAGAGAAATGAAAATAAACACGCTAGTTGTTGTTGCCTCTCTTGGAATTGGTAGTAAGCAATCTGTATGCTTATATAAAGGCCTAGACCATGGCTCTCTCTCTCTTGATTAATTTGATTCTCTCTCTCTCTATACCCATTTTTCTTCTATATGCGTAATTATAATACTATGTTTCGGCTCGCAAGTAGCATGTTGACACGTGTGCAGATGACGGGCATCTGTCTATTGTTTTGATAAGACACGTGGCATCTAGGCATTGGAAAAATCCTCTTAAGGCAGTTGACTTTCGACATTTGTAAAAAGGATGAACCTCATCCTTGACTGTCCCCACCTGCCCTACCCTAAACTTTGATTAAGGAGGTAAATCGCAAATTATCAGGTTATGCCTCCAAGGGTATAGGGTGGAAGGTTGCTTGTACCAAATAGCCAAATTAATATTTCAGGATTCGAACCCTTGACGCGATAGCCTCAAACAAAGTTGAAGTTTTTTCAAATTCCTTTTTTATCACTTGGAGATGTGCTATGTGGGCCCTTTCAACATTTATATATTGTTCTTTCTACTTTCAAGGGGCACGCCGCATGAAATTAATGATTCACACCTAATTTACGAGCGATCTGGACCATTGGATCTTTAAAATCAAAATCCTAAAATTATGTGGACCTAAAATTCGTCCGCATTTTCAAAAATCTTAAATTATTTTAAAAAATAATTTGCTCATAAAAATTTGTTGATGCTTTAGGGTATATATAAACCCCATTTTTTTACTCAAAATGTATTTTAAAATAGTATTTTAATGAAAAATGTATAGTTAGAAAATAAAAAATAATAATAATTTAGATGTAATATGATTTTATTGAAGAATGAGTTGTTGAAATAATGGGGACCAAACAATGTTTTAATATATAAAAAAAATTCAAAACTACGATAGTTTAATAATACAATTTCAAAATTAAAAAAATTATAAAAAATTCAAAAATCAGGTGGTATATAACTGTGACCTACAAATTATATAATTAAGACTTAGTATGATGTCTGATTGTGATATAAGCATATACATTCACGTAAACACCTTATTTTTTATAAAAAATAATAATAATGCTTGACTAATGCTATTAAAACTTAAAAATATCGTTTTAGATAATTTTCTCAAATAAAAATCTCCCCACAAAAAATTCTATTTGTGACAAATAATGATCTAAAAAGTAATAAAAGTCAATATATAATGTCTAGCTCCTATTTGACCTTCATTTTATTTTTCGTATGTAAAATGTTATAAATTTCCTTTTTTTTCTACGTATTAATTCAGTTTTTTTTTAAAAAAAATTGTCATCCCTTGATTCCGTCTGCTGGTGGTAAGAGGAATAGGATTCCATTTCCTATTAATATCGAACTTATCCATACCACCTCCCACATAATTTATGTTACCCTTATCTAATCACTCATTAATTAACCTAATAAATTACCTTCCAATAGCACATTGGATAGATACATTCAATTGAAAATGGGCCATGCTCGAAGTATATGACAATTTTTTACAGGCCATTGCCAGGCAAGACACGTAGGTGGGGTCCGCGCTAATTTTTATTTTTTAAAATACATGTAGGGCCCACAACACATGTGAAGGGCATGTAAGCCCCTGTGAAAAATAGCCCCCTATACGCAGGGCTTTATCCATTGATTACCTGCAAAGACAAATGAGGTGGGACCATGACACGTGATTCTCAAAAACGCATGTTACCATGTTGTTCATCGGCAAATTTCATTACACGTTTATTTCAAGAAAAGAATTATGGTACATTAGACGATATTCATCTTCACCGAGAATCGAAACAAATAAAATTGAATTTTATTTTAATAAAAAATTTAAAATACAGAATATTGTGTGTGTATGTTTTATTTTATTCGGCGGAGTCAAAATTGAAGGTTATTAGTGGGGGACGAATTCTGAGGAATACAATGTATCGTCAACTGCGGCGCCAGTGTGTTAGGACAAAGAAAAGGACAAGATGATTCTAGAGAGTTGTGAAGGGGCAATTTGGCTATTAATGCGCACAACCACTCACTCGCCCATCCATCCACTTGATTTTGGCTCACTTTTCTGACCAGAGTAATAACTAATCTATAATATATTAATAATTAAATATCGCATTAAGTGTGAATTATTTTTTGGACTATTTTAATCTTACTAAAATTCAATTATTTTTTATTTTTTAATACGTATTTAACACTTAATTATGTATTTCACTATTTACGCTCATGCATAATAATTAAACATTTATTCGGGACTAAAATTTCTCTCATATTTAGATCAAAATGATGCAAATTAATTATTCAAGTTCATGTGTATTTTATATATTTTGGGGATTATTCAATTACTCTGGAAGTAAATAAATTATTCAAATTTATGTACACTTATTTATTTTCAAGATCGCATGTAAAAAAATTATTATTTTTTTATATTCATTAATTCAAATTAATTAAATTTCATGTTCATGAATATATTTGATTGTTTTCATGAGTGTTAGCCGTAAATGAATTAATCTCTCAACTATTTAAATTATTACCTCATATTAATTGTTATTCCATTTCAATTATCAAATATTTTGATCTCCCACATTATGGAATCAAAGGCTATAAGAGATTTATCGACGTATGAAAATGAATGGTCCATTAAAGTGACGGTAGTTCGAAATAGTTTATTTTCAATTAACGTGTAATGCACGTTCATCCGTAACCAATTAATTATAAATAAAACTAGTATCTCACTTAAGACTACTCAGTACCACTTATATTAATGTTATATAGTAACATAGAATTGATCTTCTAACATCAGTGGTCATGATAAAAAATTCTTAATACCGATGTCGTAAGAAAATCTTAGTTATTGTTCACTAAAATTATGATCGTTTCAGATAACCATGACTAAGGTTCTCTTATCATATAACAATATAAAGTTTTTATCATACCCACTGAGGGTTGGATATCAGGACTGTAATATTATAACATCAATAATATTAAATAACATTACTCAATCTTTTAGTAAGCTCGAACTCTTTAACAAGCAAGAAATAATTATTGCATTCCATTTGCAAATAATCAAGAAAGAACTAATTTTCTTAACGTTTCTAAACAAATATTTTTGTTATAAAGTTAAATAATCAAAGAACATCACGACGTTATTTTTCGTTTTCAGGCTTAAACAATTTTGCATTATACGATATAATAATATATATATTTTTTTTAAATTTAAATCCAGTTCTTCCAAAATATCAATTGGTCATTATACAATGTGGAAAAATTGAAATAGTCTTCAACTTATGGCCCTCGAGTAAATTGGTCCCTAACTTTTCATTTCAAACATTAAATCCTCCATCTCTCACTTTTTGTTTTACTATTAGTATCAACGAACGATTTCCATCCAATTGTCCTTAAGATGCCAAAATTCGAGGGTTGGGTGAGGTTAGTGAAGGGTCATAACTACGAAGACGAGATGTTTAAGAAATCAAGAGAGTCGTGCTAGGAATTAGCGCTTTCTTTTTTATTTGTACTTAAATATTGGGCACTTGCAGTCCACGTGTTCTGTGCTTGATGTTTCGTCAACAAATTAGATGAAAACTTCTACCAAGAACATTATCATCACAACGAAATTGAAAAAGTTGAAAAAAAAAAATTAATTAATTATCGCATATGAAAAGTTAACAATCAGCTCGACATAGAAGATAAAAGTTGAGCACTCCCCGCTGCAATTCTCCCACTTCAATAATTTGACTGGCAAATTGTCTTTTTCCAAAGACAACTTTTCAATAATTGAACTTGAATATAAAGACCAGACTTTGCCCTTGGGATCAGAAAGTCAAAGGATAGAGTCATTGAAAGAAGCAGCATGCGTTTCTCATAAGTTGCGTCAAAATTAAGCCACGATCAGGCCCCCACTTCGACATTAATAATGTGGAAATCACTTCGAAGCCACGCAAAGTGAGCCAGCCGTTATTATCTCCGATTTTCTTTTTGTCTTTCTTGGGATTATGTGACGAATTTTTTTGATTCGATTCACATTGTATAAATAGATAGAAAGTTGGGAATGAATAAAGTCTTTTGTCGTCGAGTTTAGATTTTATTAATCTCAAAATATGTGTCAATAAAATTTCGATCACTTCCCCTCCATTTAGATATCACCACACATTTGAACACCTCGTTAGGAGATAAAGGTTGTCGGTCGAGAAAAAAATCTGACGACCATTTGCACTCCGATGACTTAGTCAACGATTTGACCAGGATTAGAAAAACGTACCTTAATTGTGTAATGAATAACACATATATAGTGAAGTGAAAATAGGTAAAGTGACACTAATAGGTCGAGTCCAAGTCCAAGGCGGGATTGATTGATTAAATAGGTTCAATCAGTTGAATAATCGATGTCACGTCGACATATATGGAACCCCCTTGATCATGCGTATGACTCGTAATTTATAAGCATAAAAGATTTTTTTAATGAATTTAAAAGTTAAATTTAAATATATAATAAAATGCACGATCAAAAAAGGAAAAAAAAAAAGTGTACTATCACTCATTTTTGTTCA